AACATACCATGAAACTTCACAGAGAAAAATTATTCACTCATTATTACACGGACTAAGACCGCACATGCTCATTGTCATAGAAGAGAGGAAACGGATCGCAAGAAGTATACAGACACTTGTGAAAGAACCATAATCCTACAGTAACGACGGAATACAGATAGATTCTTATGAAAATGAGTCATAAAGATTTAGGTCTTTATTCCTCTTTAACCTCATCAGTTTGGATTGAAGAAGGATACAGTAAGCGTTTGGCTCCAGCCGCGTCCAGTATTTTCTTACTCAGCGTGTCGTGATTGGACCTGCCTGGTCCGGCAACATACATAACCCGAAAGCACCACTCCATTAATTCCGGCGCAAAAACCCTCAACACATATAGAACTTTGAACCACGACGGCTCGGTCACATAACGAGCTCTTTTGCATGCTGCGTCAACTATCGACCTTGCACATTCTTCTGTATGCATGACGGGCATCAGGCTGACTTGGACCTGTTTGATAACGTTGACATGAAACTAGTCATTAGACTATAGTAATTGTTCGGTTGCAAATTGATTCAAGATTATTCTTATTTGAGTTACCGGTTCGAGCATATTTAACCTTGTCTTATCCGACTGTTTCCCAATGTTCTGACTAAATCCCGTCTCATGCCTTCTCACTAACCAAACCTATGCCTAAACCGAATAGATGCAAGACACTCCCAGCCAGAATTGGGTGTCAGTTCTTACTATGCTTATAATTATAAGCCTCGACTCTTATCATAACTTCACAGTTGAACTGCTTTTTCATGAATCAGGACCTAGTCTATTTTATGCAATGACTTCCCTTAATATGCTTTTAAATTTGTGAAATAGAATCTCAACGTCGCGCGTTCTGAAGATGTGGGTAACAGTAAGGATAGAAAGATAATAATTCAAAACCTAGTTTATACTAATCTGAATATTGATGACCTGAGCAGCATAGTTCGATTAGATGCAATTGTAAGTACCACCAGCAGCCCATGTTCTCTCTATATACACATGTTGGAGACGTGCTTGTGGGGGCCACGGACACACGTGAAGAGATAAAAAAAACACGGAGAGGAGTTTTCGGCTGACCAAAACTCGTGAACACGTGATGTTAACGCGTGAAGGAAGCAGGCCCACCCGAAGCTATAAATATATCTCTTTATGAGTTCCTAGGGCTCGGGGCAAGGAGGGGGGATCTACTATTATAGAGAAAAAGAATACAAATGGGTTTACAACTCTCACAATCTAAACCCTCGAATAGGCTCCTTATTTTTCTTCACAAGAAAATGTCAGCCTCCAAATACTTTTTCTCTCTTCACAAAACCCTAGGATTTTCCTCTGCTGTAGCCGCTAAAAGACTCCCTCTCTTCTGCGATTTTTCTCCAAAGCCGCAAAAACTAAAGCTCCTTGCACAGCCGCACAAAATTTATCCTCCCCTGGTACTTGCTCCAAGCCCTAGGAACTCATAAAGAGATATATTTATAGCTTCGGGTGGGCCTGCTTCCTTCACGTGTTAACATCACGTGTTCACGAGTTTTGCTCAGCCGAAAACTCCTCTCCGTGTTTTTTTTGATCTCTTCACGTGTGTCCGTGGCCCCCACAAGCACGTCTTTAACAATTCTCCACCTCGGTGAAGTTTTCCCAAAACTGAGCCGACACCAACTAAACCAAATGTCTCACTTGTTGTGTCCAGTACACCGTGATATAATTCACGACAACAGACTCAATCCATAACAAGTCGAGACCCAAACGGGAGTGCGAACACTCACCCAAATATCGGTATCAACTCACCAAATCGATCTCACCCCCATCCAAACCAAAACCCGGCTGCATCATAAAGACTGCCTACGTATCCTCTTGCCCAAGGAATCAAGCCGAACGTAGTTCACCCAAATGGCCTCCAAAGGCCTCAATCCACTAGAAGAGTTCGCAACCCTTCTCCAACTCTGCGTCTGATAGCACCTCCAATGGCCTCAAACACCTCCACCTGAGGCGAACCAATGGCCATATCCAAACTATGTCTGCCAGCTGCACTCGAATCAAAACTCAACTCATCATCTGCATCCGAATCCAAATGACTCCCACGCTGTGTCACCTCAGCTGGAATCCCAAATAATGCAGTATGATCTGGAGTAATCTTCCCCCAATGTGGAGTAGCATCACTCTCCCCCCGCTGCGATACCTCTAAGGTCTGTCCAAAACTCTCCACCTGCTGAGAGTCAATTGGCTTCCTCATCGAAGCCTCAACCAAACTGACACTACCAGACCTATCTTCCAATGGAGTTTTACCTCCAATCACAGCAGTTGACAACTCTTTAATAGGATGACCCAAATATGTCGAAGCCTCTGTCTAGAAACTCTTCTTCAAACCATTGCTCGACCACAAATACCGATCCTCCTCCAGAAAGGCACGGTTCTCCAAATTTGTCACCTTATCTAGTTTCCCCAAGATTTCCTTTCTAACGAAGTGTCTCGTAATGCCGTGAGCTCGGCTCCAATGCAGAAACAGGTCCATCTTGTACCTCCCACCAGAATGGAGTACCTTCACCTTTCTACCAATATCACACTTCTTCAATCTGTTGGAAACTACTAGGACTTTCTCCAAAGGGGATTTGGTTGCAACCCAAACACGCCTAGAACAGCCACCAACAAAGGAAACCAAACGCCTATTACCTCCCAATGATGTCCCCTTGGAAGGCCCCCAAACATCCACGTGAACTCCTCCAGAACGACCCTTAGCACGGTGAATAGAGGTGCCACACTTCACCTCGGTCTTCTTGCTCACATCAACATGTTCACTGGACTTCAAACTGCAGGTCTTTGCACCCTCTTTCAATCTATGCGAGGAATCAATACTGGAATGGCCAAGCCCCAAATGCCGCAGTCTAGTCGAATCAACAGAAGTCGTCAGCTCTCCACCTGCCACTATACCTCCAGTCAAGTAATACAGGTTATTTCTCCTGACGCCCTTCATCAAAATACGAGAGTCTCTCACAATCTCGAGAACCATGTCCTCAACACGAACCTTCAGACCCTCTCCAACCAAAGCTCCAATCGAGATCAAGTTCTTCCTCAAAGAAGGAACATATCTCACATCATTTATCTCCCTAACAGTCCTGTCAAACATTTTTATGCGAATTCTTCCTATCCTAAGGATCTGGCATGCACGGTTATCAGCCATGTACACCATACCACTATCCATCAGCTTCTCAAAACTGGAGAACCATTCCCTTCTAGGGCACACATGATAGGTCGCACCACTATCCAACATCCATTCAGATTCCTCCGAATAGCTATCTGTAGGACTGATAGAAAGCGAATAAATAGAAGAGTCAGAATTATTACCATCCGATACGATATTTGCTTCTGATGATGGCTGCTTCCCTTTCCCCTTCTGCTTATTCTTCATCCATTCGTCGAGCTTTGGGCAGTCTTTCTTCCAATGACCAGTCTCCTTGCACCAAGCACACTGATCTTTTCCTACTCTAGACTGTGACTTCCAATTCTTTCGGTTTGGACCCTTCCCTCTTGCGACCAACGCCTCCGCTACCGGCTCAACCGAAGCCTCCTTATCCTTCTTTCGAAGCTGATAATTCACAAGTGCAGCGGTGTAGCAGTGACCTCACTATACGAAAGTGATGCCTTCCCATTAATCAGAGTAAGAACGAAGGTCTCATATTCCTCGTCGGGCAAGGAACTCAACAACAGCAACGCCTTGTCCTCATCTTCAATCACGACATCCACATTCGCCAAATCCGCAAGAAGCTTAGTGTAGTTCATGTGATCTCTAATGGAGGTTCCCTTCTTCAATTGGAAACGATAAAGCCTCCTCTTCAAATACAAGCGATTTTTCACACTCTTGGTCAAATACTTGCATTCGAGAATCTCCCAAATCTTCTTCGCAGAAGTCTCATTCATCACATCATATTTTAGATCTTGAGTCAAACAAGACCTAATCACACCACACGCCGTTCAATTCATCTTCTTCCAAACCTTATCTTCAATCTCATCTGGCTTGCCATCTAACTCCAATGTATCCTCCAAATTCTGCGCGTTCAGCGCATCCAAAACCTCGCATCTCCATAATCCAAAGTTGTTTGTGCCATTAAATTTCTCCACATCTATCTTCATAGAGTGGATATTCAAACTCTGAATGGTCTTCGCGCCAGAAGAACCACCCTCGACACCAGAAGCACCTTCTTTCCCCGACATCTTACGCACCAACGAACAAAGAATAGATCCAAAACTGAAAAGATAGAGTCTTTACCAAAAGATCCAACCTTTATCACCAACGAAGCCCTAAACGAGCCTCCAAATTGATCTACTCCTCCAACCAAACCCTAGATCTGGAATATGGGCTCTAATACCACTTGTTGTGCGCAGCGGAAATTTCGGCAGAGTTTCTGGTGCACAATAAGAGAGAAAGATCGATAAGAATTCTTGTTTCTCAAAGGGAACAAGAATCTGAAGCCTAATATCCCATCAAAGTGGGATATTTGCTCTTCCTCTCGTCAGCTCTAGGACTGCACGTCGAGGGATACTAAAAACTATTACAATGGCCACAAACTCAAACAACCAATTTTACGTGGTTCGGCAAACTGCCTACGTCCACAGGGCAAGGAGGGGGGATCTACTATTATAGAGAAAAAGAATACAAATAGGTTTACAACTCTCACAATCTAAACCCTCAAATAGGCTCATTACTTTTCTTCACAAGAAAAGGTCAGCCTCCAAATACTTTTTCTCTCTTCACAAAACCCTAGGATTTTCCTCTGCTGCAGCCGCTAAAAGACTCCCTCTCTTCTGCGATTTTTCTCCAAAGCCGCAAAAACTAAAGCTCCTTGCACAGCCGCACAAAATTTATCCTCCCCTGGTACTTGCTCCAAGCCCTAGGAACTCATAAAGAGATATATTTATAGCTTCGGGTGGGCCTGCTTCCTTCACGCGTTAACATCACGTGTTCACGAGTTTTGCTCAGCCGAAAACTCCTCTCCGTGTTTTTTTTATCTCTTCACGTGTGTCTGTGGCCCCCACAAGCACGTCTCCAACAATTAGATAAAAAAAAAACACGGAGAGGAGTTTTCGGCTGAGCAAAACTCGTGAACACGTGATGTTAACGCGTGAAGGAAGCAGGCCCACCCGAAGCTATAAATATATATCTTTATGAGTTCCTAGGGCTTGGAGCAAGTACCAGGGGAGGATAAATTTTGTGCGGCTGTGCAAGGAGCTTTAGTTTTTGCGGCTTTGGAGAAAAATCGCAGAAGAGAGGGAGTCTTTTAGCGGCTGCAGCAGAGGAAAATCCTAGGGTTTTGTGAAGAGAGAAAAAGTATTTGGAGGCTGACATTTTCTTGTGAAGAAAAGTAAGGAGCCTATTCGAGGGTTTAGATTTTGAGAGTTGTAAACCCATTTGTATTCTTTTTCTCTATAATAGTAGATGCCCCCTCCTTACCCCGTGGACGTAGGCAGTTTGCCGAACCACGTAAAATTGGTTGTTTGAGTTTGTGGCCATTGTAATAGTTTTTAGGATCCCTCGACGCGCAGTCCTAGAGCTGACGAGAGGAAGAGCAAATATACCACTTTGATGGGATATTAGGCTTCAGATTCTTGTTCCCTTTGAGAAACAAGAATTCTTATCGATTTTTCTTTCTTATTGTGCACCAGAAACTCTGCCGAAATTTCTGCTGCGCACAACAACACAGGGTTACTGAATTGATGCTGAGATTGTCAGGTATAGGGTAAACCTCTTTGAAATATGACGAGAATTTTCATAGACATCATTCGTTTCTCTCAGTGGTTTCTTTAGTTTACCTGTCTAAAGGCCACAAATTTGTAGCCTCCCTTTTAGTGAAATAAAAAGTTGAGAAGAGCATAACGAGTAATAACTGAGACAGAAAGTAAGCAAGTAGCGAAGATGTTGACCTTTTCATTCCTCCAGGAAAAAATGAAATTGACCAAGTCTTTTTTGGCTCCATGAACACATAAGTAAGAGATTGCGGTCCAATTATCTGCGTGCCATGTTTAGTAGCTTTCTACAATCTATAGATCTTAGCTGTTTTCTTAGTTTGTGGCCCAACGACCCTATAAGTATGCAACATGCATTGTTTCATTGACTAGCATGTGCAATAATAGATACCATTTTATGGGGTAAAAGGAATGGGGAAAATGTGAAGGAATTGAAGTAGTCATTTTAACTTTTTTTTTCACCTTATGCCAAATAAAGAATGTATCAGTTTCGAGATGCTTACATCTCTAATATCTTGCTCCACTTGCATTACTCCTTCCTTGGATAAGAACTTCCCTTGGGTCATCTCCGATTCGATCCACCCGGGCGTCGCAATTGTTATACCGATCTCTGAGCCAAACTCACTCCGAAGAGTTTCATAGAAGGCTATGAGGGCTGCTTTTGTTGCCTTAATCATCACAAATTTACACATGTTAAATGAAACGTAAAAGAGTAAGCTTAACTATACCACAGATTCTACACTATTTCTGTACTGCAATATATAAAAGGGTTAAAGTGTGGATAGACTCCCGGTACTATTGCCTAGTTCCAAATAGAAACCCTGTAGTTATATTTGTGCGGATAGATTTCCCGCGTGAATTTTTTTTTTTTTTGACTCTCAAGAGAATCAAAAACGTTTTTCAGGCGGCGAATAAGACCCATAGTAGTTCTATTGGTGAGAATAGACCTCCAATTGCTAATTTCTTTTGACTCTCGAAAGAGTCGAAAAAGTTCAGAGGGGGTTTATCCCCACTTGAGTAAAAGTACATAGGGCCTATTTGCACAAATAGAGCTACAAAGGGCCTATCCACAACTTGGCAATAGTCCAGGGGTATAGTGACAATTAACCCTATATAAAAATATAGTATTCTTCCTCCCAAAATTTTGTATCTTGTAATACAAAAATAGTATGAATTTGACAGTGTACTTAGCATTATCCAATGTTAAATACATAAAGCAGTATTATCAACAAATGAAAGAGAGGAGAATGCCTACATTATAGAAGCTCATCCTAGGCATGGCCACCCATCCGGCTGCTGAGGAGTTCACAACGATTCTTCCTCCAGTTTTCTTGAGATGTTGGATTGCGAAATGGGTTGGATAAACGGATCCCCAGAAGTTAATATCCTGCAGTAGACATTGTAGTCTAAAGACGCAAGGCAGCTATTTTCTTTTCAAACTTATGTCTTGCATTTTATTTTTCTATTTAATCATATTTTCCTACATACGTTGTTAAGATAAAACCGAAATTAAAATTGTCCGAAGGCTTAACTTCAACAACGCAAGCCCACCAAGAAATACAGGATGATCAGTAACCGGGCCCAGACCAGATAGCTGATTAGGTTTCAGATTTCAAATTGTCCGAATCCAACTTGCTTTCTATGATACGAACTTTTTTGAATAAAGAAATTATTCACTTTCACATAATCTTTTAGCTATTAACTCGTAAAAACAAAAGCTTACATTTTAAGAAGAGAGAAAATGACGAATTCATCTACATTCGAGCTGTAAACTACAACATGGACACATAAATCAGACATCTTGCTTCCATCCTTGAGAATAATCCCTCCTCGATCGGGAGCCCGAAGGCCGGTTTACTTCAAGGTATTGGGCCTCCATTTAGATGCCAATTATTGGAAGTTTGTTTGTCATTTATCTCATTTATCTTTCAGTCAAGGTGTTACGTAATGCATTAAAAAAATTACCAATGATAAATTGTTGAATGATAAACCTGTTCAAATTTTCATCAGACTAATCAGCATATCACAGTTTATAGGACTAACAGCAACAAATCTTCCATGTTTTAAGTATATGTCTTAGATTTGTGTATGTTCGTCTAGGTACATGTTTTGAATAGAAACACGTAGTATTAAAAAAAGAAAGGAAAATAATTAAGCATTTCATAAATTTACCATCACTGGGTTGAAATTGGTTATCTCCGTAGCTTCTTCAAACATGCACAGATTAGCAATGCCTGCATTATTCACTAGATGATCCACTGCAAAAACATAAACATAATCTCCCATTTTTACCAAGCACTAAAAACAAATAACAAAGGAATCGAGGAGACCTAAGCGCATTTAGTTCCCATTACTTACACCGTCCAAAATGGTTAATTGTGTCTTCGATGAACTGGCGGCAATCCTCGGGTTTGGCGACATCAGCGGGGGCCACAAGGACATCAGGGGAGCCAATGGACTTAGCTCTCTCAGCCACCTCTCTCAGGCTTTGTTCTCTCCTTGCCACTAGAACCAGGTAGGCTCCCTTCTTAGCATACTGATAAGCAATGTGCTGAATCCATAGGCAAATGGTCAATGTCAGAATGCATGAAAAGTATGGAAGAAATATAATTTAGATTTTGAACAGAGCTTTAATTTGTTGATTATCATGTACAAAGTAGGGAATACAAAAGTCATGCCCACATGTTTGGATTGTAATTGGATGTAGTAGGTACAAGTTTGCACTATCCACTTGGACCCAAACTCCCACGAACTGAAGTGGTTTGAAGGTTGTAATTTATCCTCTAGGATACCCCACATGCTCCAGCCAAAATGTTGATTGTCCTTATCATGGGCACAAAACTGGACACATGCGCTAATATTTTCTTCTTAAATCCATTTTAAGTACATGGATGGTGAGATTTGAACCTGAGCTCCTCTGATATCTTGTTAGAGGTCCATCCCACATTTCGTGGTGAGGGAGAGATAATCTATCACTCTTAACAACATTAGTTAAGAAATATGGGATCTCCTTAAGAAACTAAACACAATACGTACTATAAAATTTGGGTTTGTTGAAATCTAAGAGACATTTTGTGGAAATCTAAAAGACAAAATGTATGTGGACATTACTTTGTATGTGGACTATTAATTTCATGTCCTTTTGTATTTCATCATGTATCTATAAATTGTACGATGTATGGAAATGGAAGATGATGAATAAGAGATTACAATTTCTCTTCTTTTCTTGTCTCTTGTCTCTTGTTTCATTTCTTTAGTATATTACAACACGTTATCAGCACGAAAGCTCTAGCTAGCCGGTTCGTAATCGTCCGTTGGTGGTAAGAGGTATTTGCAAAATCCCTTCTTCTCTGGCATATCTTTTATTTTATATTTCGGATATAGTATTTGTATTAAAGATAAGGGATATTTTGATATCTGCACATTTTTATTAAACATATTTAGAGATCGCTGATAATTTTCATGAACTGAAACCAAAAAATAAAAAGTTTATAATATTTTATTCTGAAAATAAATACGTAATTATATATGTATAGGTCTAGACATATTGTAAGTAGAACTCATGAGCTCATACTGTATTCTTCTCTGTTCTCAGAAAATAAATATATAATTGTAGTAACTTTCAAACCAACGAAGCACACGAAATTACTAAAGCTTATTTACATATAGGGTCAAATACAGAAACTCGGTCTAGTTTAAGCTTTCATTTATATTAACTAAAAACAAGAGTTATTTGATGTAGTGTCGTTGTTTTTAACTAGCTACCCTTCTAGTTTTACCTTTGCATGCAGACGTCCCAATGAAACCTTTTCTTCTCTGTCATAGTCACTTGGAATGAGAAAATTATTTTTTGACAATAAACTCCCTGAGGGTAAAAGAGTCTAAAGCAATCATACAGATGGTCTATCCGCAATTAACCCTAATACTGTTGATTGCATCTCAGCTATAGAGGGTAGGCAATTGCTAACCTTAATCCTTTTCATTAACACTTTGAGTACTAGCCTGTCTAAATGAATTATTTCCCTATTATTTATACCTATTTATAAGAGATTATGGAAGCCTCTCTGCAATAATTTAGACATTGAGAGATCACGGACACCTGTAATCAATGAATGCATGTCTTTGTATATAAACACAAAGGTGTATGTAATATGCATAAACAAAGAACACTAAAGGTACGCAATATGCGTTAAAAAAATACTAATCCATGCATAATATGGGCTAAATCCTAGTTGTTATTAAACTAGGGTATTTTTGGTATTAGGTCTACCCAATTATGGAGGTTGAATACAGTAACTTGTAACTTGATATTGTTAATTATGCCTCAAAATTTTTTATCATTTTATACCACTATGGTTATTAAGTATATCAATTATCACAAGGAAATTCTGTCACACTGGCCCTCAGCATTCAAGCCACAATGTAAATCTCCGTGTAAAATAATTGTTCATCTCCTCATGTCAGTAGTTATGAGTTATTCTTGTCAAAAGGACTCAAAGGGGAAGGCAAAACAAGGTGAAAAACATCATGCCAGTTTGCCTGAAGCAAACATAACTTTAAAGATGACAATTATGAAGATAACCTATTGAATATGGGAGATATGAATCTGGCAACCTTGAGTTTAGAAGAAAGTATAGTACAAACTGATTATGCCTTTGTTTAATTTCTACTTGCTTGAGTTTGTGATGGTCATTGATCGTCCGAGCATTAAAAAAATTTTGTGTGAATTTTAATATCAGACTAGTTTGCCAGAAGCAAACATTTGAAAGATAACATTATGAAGATTTTTAGAAAAAGGAGCTTGATAATTTTGGTGATTATGTGAATATTTCTAATTCCTGATGCACTGATTTTTCATCCCCATATTAGTGCACTGTGATATATGATAGTAATTATTACTTGGCATCGAACGTTCATTTTTACTGACACGCATGTGATTTTCACACGATTATATCTCTTGATTCTTTAAGTATATTTGCCCATAAGGTAAACACTTTAAATTTTCTAAAAAAACATGAAAAATTAAATTCTTCAGTGAAAAAGTATTCACTTTTCTAGGCTATCCCTGAAGGATCGCTTTGATCTATGGAAGCCAATAATTTGAACAAAAAGTTCTTTTCCCCATTCCACGCAAATAATATTGTACTCCAGCAGCAGTACATGACCAAGAATTGCACTTAGCATTCCGAATTGATATCTACATTAGTAGTCACAGAGAAACACAACAAATTGATGATTAGAAATCACAATATCAGACTAGTTAGCTTGCGAGTTGTGTTTGTATCACATGCTATAATTCAGAAAATTACTTATACACATGGACAATGGGAAGACTATGAACATAGTAGGAGATCTTATCCTGTAGCCATTTTTGGATTTTTAAACCCTCGACTGAATACAATTCAACAAGTAACCTTGTACTCTTACAATAGTACAACTAAAAGCATTATGAACTAATCCTTGCATTAGTCGCTATTAAAAACACAACCAGCTGTTGTGAGAAACCATAATGCAAGTTTAATTGGTTCAGTCGTAGTGCCTGAAGCACATGTCATAATTCAAATTATTATTCATAAGCTTAGACGAGGGGGAGGTAGTAGATCTTATTGAGGTGGTCAAGGTAAACTCTTTGGTTTTTCTATATTTGGATTATATGCATTTATCAGACAATTTTAATTTATCTTGATTTTGCTTTAAATTCTTGTGAACCTATGTGGTTTTTATTCATATGTGTATATTTTAGAATTTGTCTGACCTAAAATACACCATGTTGCGATAAGTTTGAGATTTAGGGACCTAAATTCTTTTAAATTCTGGCATGAGCGATTGGGTCATCTTGGGCAAAATATGATTTGTCGGATTTCTTTAAATTAAATGGGGGCATTCAAACCAAATCCGACCAACTGCATATCATAATTTTCCCCCTTTAACTAATACGTGGTGAAGAAGCGAAACATTTCCCATCTGCGTGTTCTTTATTTACAGTCCATGTTTCTATATCACCACCATAGCGTACCTCTATGGGACCTCGGTGAAGGTACATACATTATTTATGAAACTCCGTCAATAATTTAGTACATATGGCCCATGTTAGGGGATCAATTTATAATTTGGTACGCTGACTGTATTTTCATTGAAGATCAATTCTCGACATTAGGGGGAGATTAGTGCCCAAAATACAAAATAATGTTAAAAAATTCCATTTGTGAAAAAGATCTTCAATATTTATATCAACGTAATAGTCAAACTGAACCAGAACTTCACATGATAATCTGCCAAGAAAAGAGTGACTAAGCCCCATATTCATGTTGAATATATCATTGATGATTTGGTATGCCAGGAGCATATTGTGCCAGAAGCATATAAAACATGATAGTGTAAAAGATAAAAGTCCGCGGCAAACTAAATTGCACGTGCACTTGATAATCATAATACTGGAGATGCGGAACGGCCAAATCCAATTGTTAAGGGAAATGACGAGGATTTGGTTGGCATAAAATAAGAATTAAAGTGGCCACGAATTTGTGAAAAAGGAGAAATATATAATAGACATATTAAAGTTATCGACAACATAGTTGCCTCTATAGTTGTTCTTACTATCTCCGAAAATAATCTGGATCCAGAACCTAAGTCAGTAGTGCTTGAAGCACTCGGACTAGGTGAGATAGAAAGTGGCAATTGAGGCTGAGCTGAACTCGCTAAAGTATTTTGAACCTGTAGTTCATATATCCCTGTAGTATATAAATGGGTCTTCGTAAGAAAAATAAATGAGAATTGTAAGGTGGTGAGATATAAAGCGAGATTCATAGCTCAATGGGTTCACGCAGAGACCCAACATCGATTTAGATATAAAATATTCTCCTATTAGTGATTGTATTACGTTCCACAAGTTAATACCTATGGCAGAAACTATGAATTTATATATGCAGTATATGTACGTCATGACCATATTTTTATATGAGTCATTAGACGCTAATATTTTTATATGAAAGTCCCTGATGGACTTAAAATTCTTGAATTAAGAGAAAACAAGAATCGCAACATGTATAACATTAAATTATAAAGGTCGTAAGTTCCTCCTGAAGAGGAGATATGCAAATAATGATGTATGCCCTTGTGTGTTTATAAAGAAATTCGAAAATGACTTCTGTATTATATTAGTCTATATTGATGATATAAATGTTATTAAAACGCACAAGGAGCTTACAGAAGCTAGCTCATGCCTAAAGACGGAGTTTGAAATAAAAAAACTTGGGAAAAACCAAGTTTTGTCTCGGCTTGCAGATCGAGCATTTTCCCATAAGGAATTTTTCTACACCAGTCAACCTATGTGAAAAAATTATTGGAAAGATTTTATATGGATAAATCTCATCCACTTAGCACACCAATGGTCGTTCGGTCCCTCAAAGTGGATAAAAACCCATTTAGACCCAAAGAAGATAATGAAGAAATATTAGGGCCAGAAGATCCTTATCTGAGCACCATTGGAGCACTTCTTTATCTCGGAAATTGCACCAGGCCTGATATTGCATTTGCGGTGAACTTGCTAGC